AGAGAGAGAGAGAGAGAGAGAGAGAGAGAGAGAGAGAGAGAGAGTTTTGTTAAAATATTATTTTATTATTATTTTACTTTATTTGTTTATTTTAAATACTTTAAAAGATTAAAAATTAAAGAGGGTGTACCATGGGTATTTTTGGTAGTTAAATAGGGTGTACTTAGTTAATTTTACATTTTAATTTAAACATTAGGGTGTACTTAGATTGTATGGTGTACTCAGTTAATTTTAGGGTTCGTTTAGTAGCACTCTATATATATATGATATGATGATATAAAAACCAGACACAAACACAAACTCCGATCTAGACACTTTATGATGAAATATTGAGATTGAACAATATTTATCCGTTAGTTAATGTGATCTTTCCATCCAAATTCCGTTAAAATTGAAAGAATTTTTTTAAAATCAATTAATTAAATTGTAATGATTAACAAATATAAGAATCAAATTGGCCAAATTGGCCAATACTAGGACTAAATTGGCCAATAAGAGAGGTAAAACACAGGCCAATACTAGGACTAAAATGCATTTACCAACCCAACCCACAAGGTTATAGTTGGTTTACAGGTAACCTTGTATTGTACAAGTCTACAAATACAGTTGAAACTGCAAGGCCATGTTTGGTAGGCCATCAACTACCACTAACCAGAGAGAGAGCGTTGTCTTGTTGAGGGCGCTGAAGGGTTTTGGGTACTTCTTCTCCTCCTCCTCTTCATGTTGCCTCTTCTGCGTTGCCAGTTCAAGCATCAAAACGCATCCGTTTGCAAAGCTTCTCTCTAAATCACTGTAAACACACAAGCCTTGGTTTTCTAAACTCATAAAGGTGATGAACGCACCGATAATGGGTAAGCCTCTCTTTCTCGCTCTTGATAGTTCACTTCGAATTGAAGAATTTGCTTTTCTTGGGTTTTGGAACAAAATTAAATTAAGTGTGCAATTCATTAATTATAAATTGTATTTGGTGAAGACCCATTGCAAGGAGATTTCCCAGAAGTGATAGAGGAGTATTTGGAACTTGGGGTTATGAAATGCATTGCCATCCCCATAAGATGTTTTTTTGAAACTTCTTTTTTTCATTAGAAATTAAGTGCTTTGGGCAATGTGGCAATGTGGGTATTTCGAAAGTTGTGATTTTCTGTTTGTATTTCTTTTAGTTTTGTCCTGCTGTTTCTAGGGTCCTTTTTGCTGAATAAATTGCTTATTCAAAAATTAAAAGGAAGGCTGTAAATTTGTTTGCACATTGAGGTATAGAAACACCATTGCCAGTTTATACAGCACTCACTTGTTCTTCTTCCACAATTTGTACTTTTGAAACTAATATATAAGGAGTTGAATCCACAATTTGTAAAGAAGTGGAATTGCTAGCTATTCCAGAAAAATTAAAGAATTGGTCAATTAGTTGGAATTTTTTTACGGTTTCGTTTTCAGTTAGGTCTCTGCGTTAATACCCTGCATGAGCCTCAGGTTACTTTTAACTGATTGATTCTTTAATTTGTCCTTTACACTTTTATTGAAGAACACATAAACTACAGGCATTTCTTATTAATCATCTTGCTAGCCAAGGATATAAACGAAACCCCATTTACACAGATTTCTCCCGGAGATAGGTAGGTGCTATGGCCAATTTCTCGTTAAGCATTTCTAAATTCTTTTTTATGGACAATGTTTCGTGTTATCGAAGGAAACTTTGTACTAATTTTTCAGGTGCTGTGGAGGTCAATATCTGTAATCAAATGAGAAAAAGATATTGGCCGGGCTTAGTTCATGGCTTTTCCAGAGGACCATAAGCTGTAGGAAACAGAAGCCCCAAGTGCCAGAAGAACAAGAACTGCTGCTCCCATATTGATCAACATCTGCGTCTCTTCATTGTTCACCCCCTTTCCTAGATTTCTCATGCCCTCCTTTGCAGCAGCCATCACATTTGCAGCAATGGAATCCTCCTCTGTACGCTTCTCTCGGTCAACAGCGCTCCCAGAACTCTTGCTCTTTCTCTTTGCCTTTTCTAAAATCTTTGGGACAGCCCCTGCTTCTTTGCTTCTCTCATTGGCCTCTCTTTCCTTCTGCAGACTGGTTTCAGCAACTCTCTCAGCATTCTTTGGTTCTGTTGGCTTCCCTTTTGCTTCACTCTGATCCTTTCGATCAACATGCTCAGCAGTAAACTCCACCATCTTTTCGTCAATTCTTTTTGGAGGAATTTCATCCTTACCCTTTTGAGACTTAGGTTCACTTATGCCTCTTTCAGGACTAGTCAAAGTTATCACCCTCTTCTCATCTCTCTGTTTCTCATTCTGGATTGCTGGATTTGCTTTTGGAAGGGCCTCATCCTTATCCTTGTGTACTTCTGTCTCAGCAACGATTTTCGGAAGGCCTAATGGATGACCACCATTCTTGTCATCCCTTTCTTTTTCATCTCTGGCACTAAAAGTAGAGTTTTGTGCCTTTGGCTCAGCAGCAGCTCCCTGAGGGCCTGCAGCTGGAGGAGCACTTCTCTTATCCCTTTGCTGTTCATCTTGAGCAGCAGAAGTAGCTGCTTGTGAAATGACTTCCTGACCCTTTTGTGCCTTTGGCTCAGAAGAGCTACTTTTCTGAGGGCCTGCAGTTGCTGTCAAACTGGGTTTTGACGGAATTAGGTCCTCTTGTAGTTTCTGTGGCTTTGCCTCAGCAGCAGAAGCAGAAGCAGAAGCAGTTGGAGTTTTTGAAGCGGTAGGTGGTGCTTGTTGGCTTGGTTTGGCTGCTTCTTTAGGGCCTACTTTAGTGATGCCTAGCTTTGGTATTGTAATGATAAGAATTTGATTGTTGAATTTGCCATGAATTTTACTCACGTCGCAATTTTCTTGAATAGGGAAGGTTTGGTTGAAACGGCTCCATTTGTTATTCCCAAGAGGCCGTTGTCCATCAACCTTAATCACACCAGGGGCAGCCGCAAATGTAATCCTTACTTGCTCCTTCACAAAACCTGAAAACACAAACAAATTGAAAGTGACATATAACGTAACATGTATAGGAATTTTATGCTAGTAGCTTTGCAAAATTATAAGTTGCTCTTTAAAATACAAAATTCTCCTATAATCTTACATTTTATGGGTGCATCAAAATTCTTCTTTATGAAAGTATCTGAATCAATATGAATCAAACAAGTTTTCCAACTTAACAAAGCCCACACAAAAGCATTGAAACATTTTTCGATATTAGCTTTTGGAAACTTAGGGCATGTTTGGTATTCAACTTGAATCCAACTTTTTAAACTCAAAAACAGAATTTGAGTCCAAAACAAAGAAAACCTATTTGGTAGCCCTATTTTAAAAAACTCATACTCAAGAACAACCAAAAAAACACCCCAATTATTAAAAACAAAAAAATCTGTTGTTTCAGTTTTTTTTAACAACCCACAAGTTCTCAATTTTTTAAGATTTGAAAACAGTTTTCAAGTTGCATGCCAAACAAGTCTTTGAATCTTAAAAATAGATTTAAGCATTCCTTGTTTTTAAGAAAAATTAAAGTTTTTGAGTTCCCTTATTTGAATAGGATACCAAACGCCCCCTTAACTTTTTGAACTTTTGCTAGTTTTGACAAAAACCTGTTCTTTTTTTCTTTTCTTTTTTCACACAGAGCGATATTCTAAACTACTTTAATGTACTGGGAAGGGGATTTAACTTGGTTTAGGGGGCGGGAACACTACCTTGCCCAACTAACCTAACTCATACCTACCCATGAACATTGTGTATTCTTATTTACAAAATGAGTGATAAAATTGGGTAAAGTACAGACCAGGCAGATGAACATGTATAACGTGAGCTTCCTGCTCTTCCTTCAATTCAAATTGGGGCTTGAAATCTTCATAAATTGAACGAGACGATAGTCTTGGACGGGTACTAGAGATTCCACCAAAACGTTGCCTCATTGCCATCTCTCTCTCTCTCTCTTGCCTTTTGTTGATTTGATTTTCTTGTATACGTTATGATTGCCTTTGGATTGTAGAAAAATGTTGGCTATGTGTCACATTTTATATATGCAACAATTTTTGAGACAAGTGTGTTGATTGTTTGTTTGGGTTTTCTTATTAATGAAATTATTCCTTTTTAGTTGCTTTGGTTTTTTGGTGTTTTACAATTTTAAGTGTCCCCTGGTCATGTACAAGGTATAACGTCTCATGCAAACAAATATAAAGTTGGGTTGGTTACCCACCAAATAGGGATTCTCTAGTTTATTCTGAAAAACTATGTTGTACATTTCACAACCATAAAATTTTAGTCATGTTTCTTCTATATTTTATCCTCATTTCTTTAATTGTTTGTTTTAATTAAAAACAATAAACCCTTTCTCTCTCCCTCATTCAATTGTTTGTCCTCACTACTTTCTTCAGTAATAGCATCTTGTTTGCTTCAATGGAGGGTGAAGTTCATGCGCATGTTAACTTTATGAGGTATGAACTTCATTTCAATAGGACGAGTTACGGTGGCTCAAACCCAGACTTTTGGGTCGGGTTTATTGAAAAATTCTTAGATGTGATGTCAACCTAAAATCCTTCAAATAAAGGAGTTAGTAGTTCAAGTGGTTAGTTACCCACAAATATGAGGTTATGTGTTCGATTTTTCCATCTCCTAGGAGATTGCTTGTACGAAAAACAAAACACCAAAAAATACTTCATGTTGGAATGAACTTTGGAGTTTACTGAGTTCAAGCCGACTTCAGATTAAGATTTACTTTGGGCTTTTATTTTTAGTTTTTTTGGGGAACGGAAGATTTTACTTTGGGCTCTATGGATTTGAGGTTTCATACCATTTTTACACCTCTACCCTCTAGGTTTCACTAATTATGATTGGCACTCCCGCCTTTTTTTTCACTTCTGTCCAAGCAAGAAAATGACATTATTACCCTCACCATTTAGAGAAAATATATCTTTATAAGAAATTCTAGGATTCCTCCTTTGGCAAATACTTTTATGCATACGCCTTTTCGCTGATCTATATCATCACCACTTGCCAAAAACAAAAAGCGAAAGCCCTAGACAACAAGAAATCAAAAACTCTAAAATTGATTTAAAATAAAACCCTTTGCTCACCTAAAAAATGAGTCAAATGCTAATTATAAAATTAAATCTTAAACAAAAGTTAGAAACCATCAATCTTAGTGTAATTAAATATTTTCACAAAATTTCAATTTGACCTTCTAAATATTAATTTGTTTTTTTTTTTCTTGATTCAAAGAGACTTGTTTATTTTAACAAAAGTAAGTTTTTCTATGATTTACATTAAAAAAATAATAATAATGTAAGATGTAATGTTATATGCTTTTAGAAATTGATGGATTAATTTTAGGCTTATAAAAAAAATTCTTCGCAAATGATTCAGATGATAAAAATGTTATTTTCAAATAAAAATTGGGCAGAAAATAAAGTTTACTAGAAAATTTGTTGCTCACTGATATTACTTGATTATATCACGTGACGACATTTCATTGTCAAATAATATTTTTTAGGTGGAGCATAATTAATGAAAGTAGATGGTAAAATTTCCTTTAATGGCATGTTTACTAATTCATAAATTAAATTAGGAGGAATTGAATTGAAGATGAATTAAATTGAGGAGGAGTTGGATTGAAGAAAATTAGATTCCGGTTTTCCATTGAAGTGTTTACTAAACCATATGGATTGAGGATCCCTATTGAAATTGTTTACTAAACATATGGAATTGAGACATGAGTGGTACTAATTACTAAAATATCCTCATTGTTGGTACATAAATATGTAATTATGAGAAAGATGTTTAAACCAGAAAAAGGCACCATGTAGTTGACATTCAATAGCAAAAGATATTTGGCAAGTATTGGGAAAGTTCTCACAAGTCTCAATTTACTCACATTTACAGAGAAGCCAACATGTTAGCTGATCTTTTAGCAAAAAAGGAACAATACTACAATCATTCATGTATTTGGTTTAGTAATTTTCCTTTAGATATTATTACTGGAGTGTGCTTTGACTTGTATGATTTTAAGATCCCTAGGGAATTTAACTTTTAAGGTACTTTTGTTATTAAAATAATAATAATAATAATAAAACTAGAAAAAGCCACATATGCAAAAGTCCAGCCTCACACACACAATCAATACGAAATATGAAACGAGGTAGCGCAATATTTTTGCCAACGAGGTCTAGTCCAATGGAAAATGGTATTGGTTTACATATCAGTGATCTCATATTCGAAACTCCATGATACCTTAATTGTGTGTGTGTGTGTGTGTGTGTATGAGAAAACTCTCTCCCCTTTCTAACTTTGACACCAAAAAA